GGCTAGACCTCAATGTGAAATACTATCATATGGACCTGTACGCTGGTCCAGCACCTTAAAAGCCTGAGAAAGTCTGTCCATCATGCTGATAGAAGGACTCAATGGACCGGGTGGAGTCACAACCAGATGCGTCTCTGTGTGATATAAGGAAAAGAGGCTTTTGTGGCCGTGCTTGTTTTTAAGACTTTAGGTAATGAGAATGTGTGTGTTTAGAAAGTGGGTGGGAAAGGGGGATTTTTCTTCATTTATCAGAAATCCGAATTAAACGACATTGTGGGAAATGTTCCCGATCCTGCGCATGACACATGATCAACTCATGCTAGACTCTCTATAGCCATGATCTCATCGAAAGGTGGTTTCTTTTGTCGACAATAAAATAAAGATGTCGAGTGTGACTGTCTGATGCAAGCACCGTTTTCACGCTATATGTGAACGCTCTGAACAAACTAGCGAACAAAACACAGACCATCACTGGAGAGGAACAGATGAACTTATTGTGGATTTAATGGGTTTATTAAAAAAAAAAAAACTTTTCAAAGCTCTTTTTCAGTTTTAATAAGAAAAATAAGGATCAAAGTTTTAATTGTGTCAAAGTAAAACAAAATAAATGAATAAAAATCACAACATTAATATTTTACCATGGTATAATTTAATATTCAATGTATTTTTTTAATTTATGAATACAATGTTTATATAAAGTCTAAAAAATATTATATATATATATATATATATATATATATATATATATATATATATCTATATATATATATATAAAACAGTTTCTAAATATAAAGTACATACAAATAACTAATTAAATATTAAGAATAATTTCTAACAATTTAAAAAGGAGACAAACAAATAAATAGAGCAATTACTAAAATAAATAACTAAATAAATAACCTTGTCTAAATACATTTACAAATAAATAAAACATATTACTAAATGAACTGAGAAAAAAGAAAGAAAGAAAGACCCCAACATAAATATATTACTATTGTGTAATAGTTTAATATTCAATTTCATATTTTTTTTTTACTTTTAAAACGAAGCAAAAATAGTATCTAAATAAAACGCACATAAGAACGACTAACTAAAATATTAAGAATAATTTCTAACAAGTCTAAATACATTTAAAAATAAATAAGAATATCAAATGAACTGAGAAAGGAAGAAGGAAGGAAAGAAAGATATATTTCCTTTTTTGCAAATAAATAAATAAATATAAAATAAGAATAAAGAAAGAAAGAAAGAAAGAAAGAAAGAACTAATTAAAGACCAAATTCTAAAATGATGAATGAATGAATGAATGAATGAACAACAATTCCTAAGGAATCATCTCTAAATACATTGAAAAACAAATAAAGAAAGAAAGATATTTTATAGTTAATATGTAATATTTAATGATCCAAGTTTCAAAAAGTAATACAAATGTAGGAAAAGTGGAGTTCAACACTGAAATTGATCAACATGAGATCTTTAAAAAAATCAAAAATTAAGTAAAAGTATGGGTCGCCTGTGTTTGAACTCTCAATATGAAATGGTGCCAAATTCTCCAGAGCTGACGAAGAGCCGCTGCCTTCCGGAAACATTATAACTCGGCGCTGGAAGCTGCACTGGAAAGGATTCCAGCAGGTGCTGTGACTTGTATGTTGGCCTCTGTACTAAATGGCTTTCATGATGGATAGCATCAACATGCCCCAATTATGAGATTTATTTTTGTTGTCAGTGAGAAATCTCCTTGTGTCATCTAAGAATTCCTTTAATGGTGAGTCATGCAATGTGCAGCTTTAATGGAGGATGAAAACTGCGACAGGAAGAGAAATATAATCCAGGAAGACATTTGACTTGCATTAATCACAGATCCTAATTGCATTAATTTTGATTATACAAGTTATTCAGTAATTAACTGTATGTATTTTAGTGGACCACAATCCTGGATATTTTTTCTGTTTTAATGGCAGCGTAGAAACATGTTTTTCACATAAATGGGCTTCATATTTCACACGGTTTGCAATGCAAATGCTTGTCATAAAGTTAACATGGGCCTCCGGCCTCAGGCGAACGGCGGCGACTCCTCCGCTCCCTCACGGACAGCAGCCGTCCCTCCACATCCCAGGCGGCCGGCAACGAGTTCGTCCGCCCCCAACAACTCACTCCAGCCCACCGCCTCGAGCGTCCATGGCGGCAGACTGCTCCGCCATGCTCGATGGCACTGCGGACTCACCCCAGCGGCGAGGGATCTCTGGCAGCGTGCCCCTCCTTCCTCCCGGGTTTCGGCACCAATGTAACAAAGTTTGTAGATCGGGAAGAAGGAGGCGGGAACCGGCGAACTTTTAAACAAACTTTAATAATAAAATAAACTCAAAACAGCGCGACAGCCCCTCGCGGACGACTGTCGCGCACAAGCAAAACCAAAACACAAAATAAAATCCAGGCCTGGTCCTCTCTCGTCTTTCCCTGTCGTCACTCCTCCTTTGTATCCTTCCGGAGCTCCTCCGTGAGACTCGAGACCGGTGAGTGGCGCAGGTGTCGCGCATTCGCAATTCCTCCACCGGCCTCGCTCCGTTCCCACGGCTCTCGGCCCCGCCCCTCTCGTCACAATTTCTTGAGCATTTGTTGATTTTATAATTCATAGAGAATTCCTGCATGTTGCAAAATGGCACTTAGTTTATTAAATCTAATTTATAATTGGAAATTAACGCCAAGACAAAGGCTGGGTTAAGTTACAAACAAACAAACAAATAAATGAAATTAAATAATTAATATAGTATAATTAGAGTTTATATCGTGCAATTCTATAAGAAATTAACTTTTTTTCTTAGAATTGCATGACATAAACTTGCAGTTGTGAGTTATAAAGTCAGTATTGTATGATATAAATTCCCAGAATGATATAAAATGATATGATATAAAATCCATGATATAAAAAACTCAGAATTGGCAGATTTAAACTAAATTCTGAGAAAAAGTCAGAATTGTGAGTTTATATCTTGCAATTTTGACTTCATAACTCGCAGTTGTGACTTTATATCATGCAGCTCTGAGAAAAAAATCTGAATTGCTAGTTTATATCTTGCAATTTTGACTTAACTCGCAGTTGCGACTTTATATCATGCAGCTCTGAGAAAAAAGTCAGAATTGCAAGTTTATATCTTGCAATTTTGACTTCATAACTCGCAGTTGTGACTTTATATCATGCAGCTCTGAGAAAAATTCAGAATTGCAAGTTTGTATTACGCAATTCTAAGAAAAAATTTGTAATCGTAATTTTACTTTTTTTTAAAAGTCATAATTACCTTTTTTAATTTTTTATTCAGTGGCAGAAACTGGCTTCTATAAAAACCAAATGTTGCTGGAGATAAATATAAAAATATGCAAACTTTGTAACATACTATTACTTAATGCCATGTTTAAAAAAAGACAAGAAATGAAGAAGAACAGAAAGCAACATCCAGATGCATCATTTAACTTTCACCTTGACATGACCCAGCCAGAGAGACCATGAAGCCAAAAATGCCGTCTCTAGACCTTGAGCTATTTCCTGTGCAACATCTCGACTCCCTTTCATCGATATCAAGGCAGAGAGTGCGGCTAAGAAAACACCTGTCAAAGTTTATTACCGCAATCCTCCCGTCACCACAACATGCCTGACACCTACATGAGCTGGACGTTCTGCTAGTCAAACCGCTTGTCGACTTGTAATCATGCACACTTATGCTGAATATGTGGGCCCCTCGTCCCACTGGAATTGTGGGTGGCAGGAGTGCAGCTGTCAAAGAGCGTGTTGAGGGTTAATCGGCCTTAATTAGGAGAGTTGTTTTTGCCTGTTTAAGCACCAGCGAGGGGGGTTTGTGGAGATGTGGACGTGTCTGTATGTGTTTATATGAGAAATGCATCATGTTTAATTATGTGCGAATGCTGTTGTACGGGAACGCAGATATTTGTAATCTGGAATGAGAGCCTGCCGAAACCACTTCAGCGTATGATTGACATATTTATTTTCCAAATCTATCAAAGATCAGAACCACCTGTCAATGACCTTGATCTAACAAGCTTCAAACTGCAACACAATCCTTTCAAAATAGGTCTATGCAGTAAAACACATTCTTAAAAATAAAGGATCTTTATTGCCATTGATGGTTCAATGAAGAACCTTTAACCTCCATTACACAAAAGGTTCTTTATAGTGGAAAAAAAGTTTCTTGAGGTTATTGAAAATGTTCTTCACACTAACAAAAATGGTTCTTTTAAGAATTGTTCACCAGGAAGTTCTAAAATAACCCTTTTCCACTATAAAGAACCTTGAAAGGTTACATGAAGGTTAAAGGTTATTCATGGAACCATGCATGTCAATAAATAAGCTTTATTTTTTAAGAGTGTATAAAGAATCTTTTGTGGAATGGAAAAGTTATGTGGATTTTTAAGTTTCTTCATGGAACCAACAGTGCCAGCAAAGAAGCTTTATTTTTATGAGTGTGGTTCCATTAAAGACTTTTAACACCCATGGAACCTTTTCATTGCAAAAGGTTCTTTATAGTGGAAAACGGTTCTTAGATTATTAAAACGTTCTTCACACTAAGGGAAAAATTATTATTTCAAGAACTATTCTCTGAAAGGTTCTTTGGAGAACCTAAAATGGTTCTTCTATGCTTTTAAAAATAAAGGTCCTTTATTAGCATTGATGGTTCCTTGAAGAACCTTTAAAATTCATGGAATCTTTCCACTGCACAAAAAGTTCATTATTCTTTAAATTATTAAAATGTTCTTCACGCTAAGAAAAAGCTGTTCACTGAAAGGTTCTTTGGGGAATCCAAAATGATTAATATAGTAACACTGCGAAAAAACCCTTTTGGAACCTTTTATTTTTAAGAGTGTAGCTTATGTTTAATTGACATATTGAATATTCTATTTCAGGTCTTGTGTTACCATAACATTTGGGTGTTCAGAACATGTTTGAAAATGTCACATTTTAGTAAAACCTAACTGTTGTTTTCTGGCAGAACTGAGGTCGAGGACCAGCTCTGCTGTGTTCTGGGATGGTGGAGAGGGGGGAGCGTACCAGGCCTTACTGCTTGATGAGGACCGCGGATGGCTGCTGGTCGGAGGCCGAGACCACATCTACATGCTAAACTCTGACAGCTTCACCCAACCGGCACGCAAGGTCAGCGCGCACAACTACCACCATCTGACAGCGCATGATGTCACTTACCGATCACGAGGATAAGGGTCACTAAAGTGAAAACAGGCCATGACTACAATGTTTTACTGTTCACAAGAATCTGTAGATCTGTAATGCTGTTTTCATGGCCTCTCTGAAGTTACAGGATTGCAGTCTTAAAACTGCTCCACCACACACAGTACATCTGTTGATTAGCACAGAAAAATGTAATTGAATCGTCCCTCGGTTTGTAAAAGTATATGAAAAAAAAACTTATGTACTGTAGTATACCTACAGTTGTAAGTTGTAACTATACAAAATTGTAAACTTACAAAATGTAAACTATATTATCACACAGCTCTACATGTAAAGTTTTATTTATTCTATATAGCAAATCACAATTGCTTATGAACACTGCCATTACGATTTTCTGTAATGTGTATTGAGAAAAGTGCTATTTAAATAAAATTGACTTAAAATTGACTAGCAACATGGCAAAACACAAAGTAGCTTCTAGCTACGTACTCACGTTTGACTTGAACCGCAATGTGTGTTGAAAACTATAGCCTTGCTGCTGGCTATAGTGAATTAGCATTAGCTCGGTGTCTTATTTCACAGTTTTCAAGTCAACTGTCGCTACTGCAAAGCAAGTTTGAGGATATTCTTACTGAGCTAATTAGCTAAAGCTTCTTCGGTGTCATCATCTTTGTCTTCGTCTTCTTCTTTGTTTTTTATTGGCAGTTTGGATTTTTAAATAGAGCTAGCTTAAGCTACTCAACTTGACTGTTTATAGCTAGCTTCTTGAATAATAGCACACAGTTTAATAATAACACAGATATTTGAACGTGCCTTTCTCGCCCCCTTGAATATGGAGGTTAGTATTTAAAATCAATTTGCAATGTGAGCTTGCAATGTGTTTGCCAGGCATTCGTGTCTGCATTTGCATACTTCTAGCCTTAATTCTCCACTACACACCATTACAGCTAAATAAACATTACAGTTGGTTCAATATTAATTGATTCTGTCTTTTATAATAGCGAAATACCAAAAGACACCTGCAAGAAATGATGAAGTCGAACGTAAGGTCATGGCACAGCCATACATACGTGATCTTCATGATATGCTACCTAATTAAAGGCTATTACTGCAACCGGAGACCTTTTTGACCATTTAATGATGTCTTTGGAATTATCGAAATTTCCTTTTCACACAAGCTGCTGTAAAACAGAGTATTTTGACAAAGGACCTGAAGTCAGAGGGTAGAATCATTAAAAATGAGCCATGTATCATGAAAAATCATTTGTCATTTTAAGTCGTTCTAAATGTGATTTTCATTAAATGGCTATTAATGCTCACTTTAGATGGGGACCTGTATGCTGGGACGTCAGTAGACTTCATGGGAACAAACGCTGCCATTTTTCGCACATCTGTGCATAGCAGCAATCAACACTATATCCGCACTGAAGCTTACCAGGACCAGTGGCTAAATGGTGAGAAGTGAAATGTAAAATTCTGTTTTTATTGTGTGTGCAAAGACAACATGGCCTTAGTTCCCAAGGTAGACTAGTATGGGTGCAAGAAAATATTTGTATTGCTAAAAAGTTTCATTGATAAATAAACTTTCACATTGCTGATAGGTTAAAACACCAAATTAATGTTGATATCACAATTCTAAACACAGTTTTTCCCAATTTAATTAGGAAGCAAGAAGGTCTAACATATGACAATTAACATTTTAAAATCATATGTAACACAACCAAAGCTGTAAATGATCAAATTAAACATTTGGAGTATATTTCTTTAATTGGCTTACAAGCAGTTATCTGACTACCAAAGCAGACTGCTAACAAATTAGACTATTAGTTTAGTAATTTCTAAATTATTAGCTTGTTAGCTTAGCATAAAGTTGTCATTTAGCCTCTTAGCTTAGCATACAATCAACATATTAGTTTGTTAGATTAGCATACAGCTACTCAAATCGATGCTAGCTTAGATAATTTGTTATTATCTAAAGGAAATCACTATAATAAAAGGATACATTTTTAAACAGAATTTACAAACAGCTACCTTTTGGGGTCCAAGAGGAGAGTTTTTTTTAAGTCAGTCACCTGTGATGTTTATATCATGTGACTGATTACTCTGTATTCGAACTCCTTGCAGCAGACAGGGAAAAAAAAGTCATGAAGTCAAAAATGTATAATGTTTTAAAGATGTGTAGTGATTTTTCCTAAAATACAAGGCAAAATACAGGTTAAGAAAATTTTGGCAGTGGATAAGAAGGTGGTTCATGGACTGAAACCCTTGGAAACCACTGTTTTGAGGTGACTGGTGCTGCCTAATTAACTTTTGTGACATCCTCCAGCCTCACTCTGATGCCAATTTATTTTCACAGAGCCGGAGTTTGTGGGATCATATTCCATCCCTGAAACACACAGCTTGGACGATGACAAAGTCTACTTCTTCTTCAAAGAGACCGCTGTAGAGTCCAACCAGCTCGACAAGCGTATCTACAGTCGAGTGGCTCGTGTCTGCAAGGTGAGTGCCAAGTCCAGTGCCGTAATGAGCCAATAAAAATGTGAAATGGATCCAAAAGACCTTTGTCTGGTATGACGTATCAATGAGTCTATTGTAGACACTAATGAATGAATGTGTAATCGAACTCCTTGCAGCAGACAGGGAAAAAAAAGTCATGAAGTCAAAAATGTATAATGTTTTAAAGATGTGTAGTGATTTTTCCTAAAATACAAGGCAAAATACAGGTTAAGAAAATTTTGGCAGTGGATAAGAAGGTGGTTCATGGACTGAAACCCTTGGAAACCACTGTTTTGAGGTGACTGGTGCTGCCTAATTAACTTTTGTGACATCCTCCAGCCTCACTCTGATGCCAATTTATTTTCACAGAGCCGGAGTTTGTGGGATCATATTCCATCCCTGAAACACACAGCTTGGACGATGACAAAGTCTACTTCTTCTTCAAAGAGACCGCTGTAGAGTCCAACCAGCTCGACAAGCGTATCTACAGTCGAGTGGCTCGTGTCTGCAAGGTGAGCGCCAAGTCCAGTGCCGTAATGAGCCAATAAAAATGTGAAATGGATCCAAAAGACCTTTGTCTGGTATGACGTATCAATGAGTCTATTGTAGACACTAATGAATGAATGTGCTTCAGTATCATCTGTTGCACAGTAGTAAAGTAGTCGTGTATCTAATAATGGATGAATGAGGGGTTTGTTTGAGAGTAATTAAACACTAATCTAGCAACAAATCTAGCAAATTAGGTTTTCTGTTCAGGCTTTTCATGTCAGAGCATTCTTGAAATGTTTTATATATTTATTTGTGCTGTATTTATTGGTAATGTATAAAAATGTAATGTACTACTAATATATTTTTGCTAGTGAGATACTGTGATGTCATATTATCTCTTAAGGCTGGAAAACACTATTCAAATTTTGCACAGGTTTTTGCCCCAATTTGTAGTCTGGAGGAGTTGACACTAGTTGCCGAAAGTCAGAGCTAATCTGCATATTTTGGGTAGTCAGGAATTTACCAATTTCAAAAACAATTGCATAGTAATGGGCACAGATTCCAAAAATTTAGTTTCACACTATGATTCCATCCAGTTGGAAGATATCAGAAATGTTTTAACAAAAGCTATTTTGAGCCAGTTTTAGAACACAAATTTTTGTCATTTGTCATACCTCTTCTAGCAATGAGGCGCTATGTTTCTGCGTGAGTTTGTTGTGTTTGGAACAACTTAAAGGTCTGGCAGTGTGTTTTTCACACAAAGTGAGCAAGTGTAGGATGCCTAGTGTTTTAAAATTGGTTCAGATTTGAAAAGTCCTATAGTGTAGTCTTACATGTTATTGGTTTTCATTAGAATGACATAGGTGGAAAACGAAGCTTGATTAATCGCTGGAGCACCTTCCTGAAGGCCAGGCTGGTGTGCTCTGTACCAGGACCTGGAGGCATGGACACACACTTTGACGAGCTGGGTATGTTCACACTCTAATTACACGTTAATATGAACTCAAAATCTCATTCCTCAAGACTACAATCCTCGTCCTTTCTTCTCATTTTTTATTTTTATTTTTAGAGGACATATTTCTCTTGGAGACCAAAGATCCACAGAATCCAGTCATCTACGGTGTCTTCTCCACTTCCAGGTAGGTTCATTACCTGAAAAGTCTGATTCATGAGTCATTCTTTGGGTCACCAGCCCATAATCTTGTTAACTTGTTAGAGCCACATTCCAGTCAATGTTATATTTGTTTACCTCAATTCCTGAATTATCATTGGCTCCATCCAAATCAATCAATCCGTCACACTCATTCCCATTTAACTAACTCTTCAGTTTCTCAGACCTCCTTTATTCATTCCAACAACCTAAATCTGATTATCTCAGTTTGTCTTATGAACTGACATCAGTATCAAAACACCCCTAAAATCAACAATCTGGTCACAGGATGCTCTCCTCCCCACTCCCGATCCATTTAGAACAATCCGTCTCGGTGTCCCACCCAAGGAATGGATAGCTCGAGGCCAAACGGGAGGGTGAAAGGTCACCAGGCTTGAGGAACTCTGTTATTCTAACCTGGCATCAGGCTAATACATGTTTCCTTTTCAAAAGCTCTGTCTTCAAAGGTTCAGCCGTTTGCGTCTATACCATGGCCTCCATCCGAGCCGCCTTCAACGGGCCTTTTGCGCATAAGGAGAGCCCTGATTATCGCTGGATGGAGTACAAGGGGAAGATCCCTTATCCACGGCCGGGGACGGTAAGTTCTCAACAGGAAGGAATTATGTTTGGTATAGAAGTGAAGATGATTTGTCATGTGGAGGGTTGCCTCTTTCTGTTGGCAACTTGAAGGACTTCAAACTGTAATCTTGGTGTTGTGAGCATAAGTGCAAGCAAGATTTGAGGTCTACGATTGATACTGGACTGCAGATATGTTGGGGCAGCTTGGAAACCATGTGGCCAGCCACTCCATGCACTAGCTGCACTGCCTCAAGGGGGTTGTAAAAATGTTGGCAGGCACTCTGGGAGTCACGCGTCATTGCGGTTAGTGAAGTGGCTAGAGTGTGGACTTTTAGTGATGAGGTCACCAAAAGGAAGTCAATTATCAGGGCTCTGAGGTCTGCTCCATTAGTTGCCGAAGTCATAACCACGAAGCTGACCTCAACTGTGAGTTGACAGCTAAACCCTTTCAAACTATGGGGTTTGGTGACTAGAATAGGGGTGTCCAGACCTGTTCCTGGAGGTCCAGTGTCCTGCAAAGATTAGCACCTAAAATAAATAAATACACCTGAATCAGCTCATAAAGGTCTTCACGATTTCGAGAAACATCCAGGCAAGTGTGTGAAGGCTGGTTGGAGCTAAACTCCCTCCAGGAACAGGTTTGGACACCTCTGGACTAGAAAGTGCAATTAATATATTTTAGACTTGTTTCACACATAGTAAAATAGATCTACTTGAGTTTATTTCATTCAGACATGCTCTTTCCTTTGCGCATATCGTTTGAAGGTCACCATGTTTATTGGTTTTACAAGGAAAAAGCTGGTAAAAACTTGATTTTGCACAGGCAAGGTGAGAAAGCAAGTTTATCATACTAGATCATGCTATATGTATAACATGTCATGTTTTGAGGGGTTTCGCTAAACCAAATTGTTCATGACAACAGAAGATTCCTTCAAAACTGCTTGTCTTAATATGAATAAATAAGAATTATTATGCTTGCCCCAATATGATCTCGAACAGTGGCCAAAATCCACATCTGCGTAAATGTTTTTGACTATTTTTACCTTAGTCTGGGACTGTTACTCCAAATTCAGTCCCCACAGGGTTTCAGAATATAAGCTTAACTAAAGTTCCTATATCTCTTCAGTGTCCAAGTGAAACCTATGACCCTTTGCACAAGTCCACCCGAGATTTCCCAGATGATGTTGTGAGCTTCATGAGGACCCATCAGCTGATGTGGGAACCAGTGATGCCCATCCATAGGCGTCCTGTCTTCACTCGGATCAACACCCCCTACAGGCTGAAGAAGCTTGTGGTTGATAGGGTTGATGCCGAGGACGGCCAGTATGATATCTTACATCTTGGCACAGGTATGTTGGAATGCAGTCAACAAAAGATCAACGTGTTCAGTGAATGGGATTTTTTGTACTACTAAAAAAGTTTGACATCTAGCCGTTGGTGTTCTCTATTATAAAAGTATTAGACCTAAAATTGCACTGCAAATATGGAAATCACTGCTAGATCCAGTAAATGCTATCAAAGACGACCTCTGTTCCCACGCTGGTCAGTGGTCCTGTTGCCAGGGATTATCCTGACACTCTGAGGAGCCAATGTTTCTTTTCCTGTTCATTTGTCCTCCTGGACTGGTGGGTGTATGCGTGAACTCTGCCACATTTAAGTGAATCATTTAGGGCAAATAGATACACTGTTCAAGACAAATATGCTTAACCTGTGTGTACAGAGAGCCGACTCGCAATCTTACTGTGTATAGAACTAGAACAGTGTAACAGCTGTCAGCCCTCAGGGTGCTGCATAAATCCACATGCCAAAAGCCAGTGCTCACTCACCATGGTGATGAAGTAAAGGTGCATTATGGGATATGTTTAAAGATGTTACAATTGATGGTTCAGGTTGAAGTTTGATGTGAATATCTATCGATCTATCTATCTATCTATCTATCTATCTATCTATCTATCTATCTATCTAACTATCTATCTATCTATCTATCTATCTATCGTTGTTTCGTTCGTTCGTTCGTTCTTTCTTTCTATCGTTCTATCTATAATTTTATCATTTTATCCATTGTTCTATCGTACTATCTATCGTTCGTTTTTTTTCTATCTATCTATCTATCTATCTATCTATCTATCTATCTATCTATCTATCTATCATTGTATTGTTCTATTGTTCATTCTTTCTTTCGTTCTATCTATCATTATATCATTATATCCATTGTTCTATCGTTCTATCTATCATTCTAACATTATCTATCTATCTATCTATCTATCTATCTATCTATCTATCTATCGTTCGTTCGTTCGTTCGTTCGTTCGTTCTTTCTTTCTATCGTTCTATCTATAATTTTATCATTTTATCCATTGTTCTATCGTACTATCTATCGTTCGTTTTTTTTCTATCTATCTATCTATCTATCTATCTATCTATCTATCTATCTATCTATCTATCATTGTATTGTTCTATTGTTCATTCTTTCTTTCGTTCTATCTATCATTATATCATTATATCCATTGTTCTATCGTTCTATCTATCATTCTAACATTATCTATCTATCTATCTATCTATCTATCTATCTATCTATCTATCTATCTATCTATCTACCTACCTATCGTTCGTTCATTTCTATCTATCTATCTATCTATCTATCTATCTATCTATCTATCTATCTATCTATCTATCTATCCATCCATCCATCCATCCATCCATCCATCTATCCATCTTGTCTGTATAGTGAAATCACACATGGTAAATCTTCTGTATCTCCAGATGATGGCAGAGTATTAAAGGTGGTCTCTGTACCTAAAGAGAACTGGGAAACTGAAGAAATCATTCTAGAAGAGCTTAATGTCTTCAAGGTAATACAAAATCTCTGTTTTTTGTTGTTGTCTCACTTCTTGTTTATCCTGCCATCTGTTGGACTCATGACCTCTGACCCTGGGCTCTTATTGGTTGTTGTTTTCATGTCAAGCACTTCCCAAACAAAAATAACTCCTAAAGAAGAAAACCAGATTTCCCATGGCTGTCTACTCAAGTGAACAAACCCAGGGACAGGAGAGGCAGCGATACACCAAGAATATTGTGTTTAGTGAACAAAAAGAAGATCTCATTTATCCAAAACTTTAAACAGTGAGGAATGTCTCGGTTTTGCTCTGGGGATGAAGGGAATGAAAACAAACAGAAGTCAACAGGGTTAATATGAGATGCATGTAGAATGTTCTGTAGTAGAATGATGGATTCACAATAGCATTTACCTTAGAGTTTTAATTTTACACCACTGCATCCCTCAAATCTCCAGTCAAAAATTAGTTTGTACATTATGAATAAATATTTCAAGTGATTTTATCCATATCAAAAATGTAATTATGTGTATTATAGAGCAGTAAGTATCAATCAAACCTTTATGGAGACAGCAGACATTGCCTGCCATTTGGAGAAAGAAAGTCGTTTTAAGAGTTAAGGCTCATTTGCTGCTATATATGAAGGAGAAATGAACCAACAGAGCAGAAAGCTTTAAAACTTTCACAAGGGCCTGTTATGATGAGCTGCTCCTATTCAGCGCCAACAATGCATGTCTTCCTCCTCTTTGTTCAGGAGATGATTCATTTTATGTGTTGACATTTTTTTTTTTCTCTCTTTTTCTATTTTGTAGACTCAAACCACGATACTAAGCATGGAGCTCTCCACCAAGAGGGTAAGTGGGCTTGTTTTGTGGGTGGCCACTTACTTTAACAACGATAGGAGCTTCATGTTTTTTCTTTTAAACCCACCATAATGTATTGCCTCTTAGACATCCATTGTACGTGTGTCAAGGGTTTATCATTCTAATTACCATTTTTAAGTAATTTGTTAAAGGTTAGTTTGTTTCACATTTAGACATACATCCTCATGTTTTATTTTATTATTTATTTTTTTCTCTAGCAAGTGCTATTTGTAAGCAGTGACGAAGGGGTCGTCCAGCTGCCTGTGCAGAGGTGTGAGCTATATGGTAAAGCGTGTGTAGACTGCTGTCTAGCTCGTGACCCATACTGCGCTTGGGACGGGTCCTCCTGTACCAACTACTTCCCCAGCAACAAAAGGTACTTCCCTTTGTATTACATTTAATATATTCTCATTGGTCAGAAAATCATATAGGCCTAATCATTTTAGCATTTTAGCAATTATTTAAATGAATGTTTCTGAAAAAAGAAACATTAAATCAATGATAACAAATGGCAGCACTTTAAGGTGTCCTTGTTACACGTTACTTGCTATACTTATAGTAATAACTATATTATACTATAGTAATAACAATAGATTATGCATAATTAAATGCAAATAACTCTAAACCAAATCCTAGTCTTAACCATATAGCAAGTTCATGTATTTACTTAATATTACTCAGTACTTAAATGTGTAATTATACTGTAACAAGGATACCATAAATAACAATGGTACGGTTTATTCAACTCTAAGAATATTTTGGTCACACTTTATTTTAAGGTGTTCTTGTTACAGTGTAATTATACATTTATGTACAGAGTAAAGGTCTCTGCACACTGAGTCCGAAATTTTCGTATGCGTTTTTTTGTATTCGAAATCCTAAAAATTCATCACGCACAGAAACCTTGCACACTGTGTCCGATGCGTATTAATTAATCAGTTGCGAAAAAATTCGCAGAACAGCACTAAATGGAGTCTTCAAGCAGTGAGGATGATTTTGTTGTCCTCTCGCTTCTTAAAAAAAGAAAAAGAAAGGAAATATTGGGTCCATCCAATCCTGAGATATAGAGAGGTAGGAGAGTTCCCCCTCCTTATTAAGGAGCAGTGGGATTATCACGGGCGATTCAAAGTTTACTTCAGGATGTCAGTTGCTCAGTTTGATGCTTTTGCTAGCGATAGTGGAGCCACATTAAAAAGAAGACCACCAATTTCTGTGAACTAACCTTTATGGAGACAGCAGACATTGCCTGCCATTTGGAGAAAGAAAGTCGTTTTAAGAGTTAAGGCTCATTTGCTGCTATATATGAAGGAGAAATTAACCAACAGAGCAGAAAGCTTTAAAACTTTCACAAGGGCCTGTTATGATGAGCTGCTCCTATTCAGCGCCAACAATGCATGTCTTCCTCCTCTTTGTTCAGGAGATGATTCATTTTATGTGTTGACATTTTTTTTTTTCTCTCTTTTTCTATTTTGTAGACTCAAACCACGATACTAAGCATGGAGCTCTCCACCAAGAGGGTAAGTGGGCTTGTTTTGTGGGTGGCCACTTACTTTAACAACGATAGGAGCTTCATGTTTTTTCTTTTAAACCCACCATAATGTATTGCCTCTTAGACATCCATTGTACGTGTGTCAAGGGTTTATCATTCTAATTACCATTTTTAAGTAATTTGTTAAAGGTTAGTTTGTTTTCACATTTAGACATACATCCTCATGTTTTATTTTATTATTTATTTTTTTCTCTAGCAAGTGCTATTTGTAAGCAGTGACGAAGGGGTCGTCCAGCTGCCTGTGCAGAGGTGTGAGCTATATGGTAAAGCGTGTGTAGACTGCTGTCTAGCTCGTGACCCATACTGCGCTTGGGACGGGTCCTCCTGTACCAACTACTTCCCCAGCAACAAAAGGTACTTCCCTTTGTATTACATTTAATATATTCTCATTGGTCAGAAAATCATATAGGCCTAATCATTTTAGCATTTTAGCAATTATTTAAATGAATGTTTCTGAAAAAAGAAACATTAAATCAATGATAACAAATGGCAGCACTTTAAGGTGTCCTTGTTACACGTTACTTGCTATACTTATAGTAATAACTATATTATACTATAGTAATAACAATAGATTATGCATAATTAAATGCAAATAACTCTAAACCAAATCCTAGTCTTAACCATATAGCAAGTTCATGTATTTACTTAATATTACTCAGTACTTAAATGTGTAATTATACTGTAACAAGGATACCATAAATAACAATGGTACGGTTTATTCAACTCTAAGAATATTTTGGTCACACTTTATTTTAAGGTGTTCTTGTTACAGTGTAATTATACATTTATGTACAGAGTAAAGGTCTCTGCACACTGAGTCCGAAATTTTCGTATGCGTTTTTTTGTATTCGAAATCCTAAAAATTCATCACGCACAGAAACCTTGCACACTGTGTCCGATGCGTATTAATTAATCAGTTGCGAAAAAATTCGCAGAACAGCACTAAATGGAGTCTTCAAGCAGTGAGGATGATTTTGTTGTCCTCTCGCTTCTTAAAAAAAGAAAAAGAAAGGAAATATTGGGTCCATCCAATCCTGAGATATAGAGAGGTAGGAGAGTTCCCCCTCCTTATTAAGGAGCAGTGGGATTATCACGGGCGATTCAAAGTTTACTTCAGGATGTCAGTGGCTCAGTTTGATGCTTTTGCTAGCGATAGTGGAGCCACATTAAAAAGAAGACCACCAATTTCTGTGAACTTTGTGTGCAAGGATCTATATACAGTGCTTTGTGCAGCGAGATGAAGTGGATGAACTTGACAATCGCCATTCTGGATTTTGGCGTTCACTTGTAAGGTGGCTCTGAACTGTCAAAACACCTCTCAAAATACTTGCTACGGATGCGAAAAATGGGAAAAATCGAACCCGATCCAAATTTTTTATGAGCACGAATATTTCGGAGGCAGTGTGTAAACGTGATTGACATAACGTGAGGTCGTATTTATTTTTTAATGTGCGAAAATTTCGGACGAAATATTCAGACTTAGTGTGCAATGACCTTAATATTAATTAACTACATGTTATAGGGTTATATACTATATACTATAGGGTTAGGGTTAGGATTAGGGTTTGTTTTAGGGTTACTTACATAATTTATTGTTATTAGAATCATGAGTACCTGTAACGTGTAACAAGGACATCTTAAAATAAAGTGTTACCAATATTTTACAAATTTGTAAATACAGATTATTGGAGTATGTTTTACAAGAAAATATTTTTTCAGCCTTTGTACTTCAGAATGTCATGTTTAATTTCAATGCATTACTTGTTGTTCCTTTGCAATTATTTGTGAAATGTACTAGCAATTTCTGAGAGAAAATTGTTTCTGTACCATTTTTAGTGTAGAAGTGATTACAGTTAGGGCTGCACGATAAATCGAAATGGAATCGAGATCGCGATTCGACAGAAGCTGCGATTGTCATGCGTATCTTTCAGTGAAGCACGGTTCTGTGATCGGCAGTAAATCTCCATCCAAAGGCCAGAGGGCGCTCTCGCGCTGAAACTCCAAATACGCCTCGCAGAAGAAATCAGGAAATGCCTATCGCTGCAGCTGAATAAACAGAAGATTCAACTGCTTTCATTGATTCAACATGACTAATTAACACACGACTGTGGCAATATACGGCTTTATCTGAGTTCTTATTATTATAATTTTCATTAAAATAAAGTATATTTATAATGCAATGCCTTTATCACTGCTTAAATATTATGAAATATGTTGCGTGCCTTATTCTGTGTAAGAAGCCACATCATCTCACAGAAGGATTTATTTCAAACACTCGACTGACGTTATGAAATGAGTTTGGAGTAAAAACATGTTATTAAATGTGGTATTTTCACATGCTTTCAAATGGAGCAGCATTTACTTCACAGAGCCGTAGTTCACTGAGAAGCTATGCAAACAGCTGTCATTATCGCGAACGATTTCGATTTTTTGGCGTAACTTGTCAATGAACTACGGCTATGTGTAGTAAATTCTGCTCCATCTGAAAGCACGTGATGATGATTTCCTGCTGATTACAGAACCGGCTTTACTAACAAAATGCCCATAACAATCACATTCGATTAATCGTGCAGCCCTAATTACAATCTTAAATATATACATTTTTTATTGTGTTTTATTTACTAACAGAGAAATTGTAGGCTTGGTTACAGTTAATTTGGATTAATTTTATTTGGAGTATTAGTTGAAAATGGCTTGAATTATAATACCAAAAACCACCAGCAAACCTGTCAAATAATAAATCTAAGGGTCAGTGATGTCCACTTGTGGTCCGCAGGCGTGCCCGGAGGCAGGATGTGAGGTATGGAGACCCCTGGAGCCAGTGTCAGGACATGAGAGATGGTAATAAATCACTTTCTGTTCACCTCACCACTTTCCACCTTCAGGTTGTATGTGATATTGGCCAGTCCTGGAAAAAGAAAATGCACACTACCTTCTCTAGTGTACAAAATGGATACTTACACATGCTAAGATATGTGCACCAGTTCAATATAAATATGTTTACACTCTTAATACAAGTTTTTGGCTTTGCTGTTAAAGAAGTAAACAAACACATTCCAAATAAATACAAAATAAACTTTGTCCAATCGTCTCTACAGGTTCAGAGAATGCTGAGCTGAAGACGGTTTACGCCGTGGAGACGAACTCAACCTTCCTGGAATGTGTCCCGCGTTCACCACAAGCGACGATCAAATGGATAATTCAGCCAAACCACAGCCAAACCAGCAAAGAGGTCTGTCAAACATATCATGTTTAAGAGATTTAATCATGAAAAACCATAAAATATGTAAAGAACTAACTATACACTTAAATCATTCACTTCTATTCTAACTCAAACCCCTTTCTATCTCTCAGTTGGTTCCAGGTGAAGAAAACCTCATCCACATGCAACGCGGGCTCCTCCTCCAGCACTTAGCATCTGCTAATGCTGGCCTGTACCTCTGCGTAGCCTATGAACACTCGTTCTCCCGCACGCTAGCGCGCTACGAGCTCCACGTCATCCCCCAGAACCATATGCCGAAAGCGCAGAACACCCATCCCGGAAATTACGCGACCTTGCCGCGGAGCTACAAGGAACTCCATCTAATGGGAGTTAGTGGGCTAACGGCCGACGAGTACTGTGAACAACTGTGGTACCGTGAAAAACGGCGACAGCAGAAACTTCGCACGCTAAAGTGGAAGCAGGTGTCTGAAAATCGTAAAGCGAGGGTTAGGCGACAAAATCCACCAAACGGGCCTCTAGATGGAGGTGAAACGGCAGACTTTTGATGAAGAGAAGGACTGTGTCACTTCATCTGGACAATTAGTATCCTGTTTATAGCTTAAAGGCTACATTCCGACTAACTACAACAAGCGAATGCTAATGTTAGCACAACAACAAAGGCTACAGACTATAAGAACTGTATTATTCTTCTATTAAGTCCACACTTAAGTTTTATTTTGTAGCCTGTGCTAGTGTTAGCATGTAGCTTTAACACAGTGTAACCAAACAGACTGTAGCTGTGCAACTGTTATGAATTTGCACAGTCTGGCATCCACATTTCACATACATTTAATTGTATTATATTGTTTGTCAACCTTGAAATACAAGCACCTATGCTAAATGCTAGGCATGCTTGGAAAGCTAATATTGAAAATAAGCTAACGCACTGTTTTGAGTGAAATGTGGTGCAAAGATGAACTGGCTTCTTTTGCTTTCACTAGGCATGTAGATTAAATAGTCCCTAGAGCATTGTATTACTATTATATTTGGACTCTTGATACAGTCAAATGTACAAATTTAACGTTTGTTCTGACAACATAAGGTGCCTCCATGTTCAGAGGAAGTTTGCCCTGGATGTTCCCTTCATGTTTCCTTCCCCTTCCAGAACAATCTCTTCTACTCTTTCCTGAGAACATCTTTGAGTAAATATTGTGTTTGTTTTATGACTCCTTTGCAAATCTCTCCACTCTGCGCCCTTGTGTGTACAGTATGTGTAAGATGTGGTCGTGTGTGAAAGCATCTGGGGATGGTAAGTAGAAAATGGCCTCTAAAGATCAAAGAGCCTTTAAATATTCTCCGCTGCCCATGAAAATGACTTCCAGAATCATCATGCTTTTGTTCTTCACCATAACTAAATGAAAATACACTAAATGTACATTGTTTTAATGTATGTTGATTAGGCTATATAATGAAGCTCACATGTTGGGTTATTCATTTATGTCTCTCTCTAGCTTTTCTGGAGCACAGACATATAGGCCTATACTTTTAATGTGGTAGTGGTTGCTATGTATTTAAAATCCTAATACCAGATTTTAGACTTGTCTATACTACTGTTCAAAAGTTTATTTTATTTTATTTTTATTTTAAGAAATGAATCATTTTATTCAGCAAGGACTCATTAAGTTTACCAAAACTATTAGTAAAGGTGTTCTAATGTTACAAAATATTTCCATTTCAATTAAATGCTGTTCTGTTCATAAGACAATCCTAAAAAATCTAAAAATATATTAAGCAGCACAGTCATTTTCAACATTTATAATCTAAAATGTTTCTTGAACAGCAAATCATCATATTAGACTGATTTCTCATCATCATGGACTGATCAAACTGGAGTAATAATGCTGGAAATTCAGCTCTGCATCATAAATAAATTATAAATTATATTTTAAAATATATTCAAATAGAAAAGAGTTCATTTGAATAGTAATTGTATTTCATAATATTACTGTTTTTACTGTATTTTTGAGAAGACAAATGCAGCCTTGGTGAGCAATAGAGACTTCATTCAACACATTAAAAATATTACGCAGTTTTGAAAAGTCCACCTCAGCGTACTGAAAAAGCAATGAGGAAAACATTATTAGCATTCACCTAACACAGTAATAGATACTAGCATTCAGTTAATAAAACACACTAATAAAACAGTATTAGCATTCAATTAAACACACACACACAAAAACATTATTTCTGTCAGGACCACTATCGTCAAAATGATAGATACTTAGCATAAAGTTTGGTTTGGCGGTATGGTTCTGTTCTGGGCAAAAAACCTCCCTGCCCATCCATGCAGCCTGTCATGAATGAGCAAGGAGAGCAACAATAATAACCCCCCCAGGGTTAACAGAACAGAACAAGGCAGATATCATTAATGTACTCAATGATATTTAAGTGTAACACTTTGTTCAAGATAAAGGAGTCTGATTAGCAAGGAATATCAGAAAGCTAAGTCCTGACTGTGGCAAAAGGTGGAGCTGGGGATGGAGGAGGGTAATTTGCTCCGAAGCAAGCTGAAAAGCTGCTGAATAATACTGAATACAGCTTATATAGGAATGCCGCGATAGGTGTCGTATTCCTATAGGTAGATGTGATCAGCTGAGAATCAGCTGATGCAAGCTTGACTCACGTGACCTGCCAGAACTAACGCTTAAGCTTAATTAGGATATTGCAGTTGTCTTTGTACAGACATAGATGGTTCAAAACAATGTATGTGTTTCATGTCATTTGCCGGAGGTTCATTTGATTCCTGAGGTTGAACTGGTGTTTGCTGTAGATCAGTGGCAAGAAGTTCTTGTGATCGTCCTCTGGATATTTTATGTCCAACAACAAAATGGGTAAAACACCTGTGAAAAGAAATAATACATATTAAGACAGTACATTGGGTCCTATTTTACAGACATTTCTTAGTGTATAGCCTAGGTAGTATATCACATACTATGACATTCTTATGAAGCAATAACTGAAGTATCACTCACCAGCGATGCATAGTCTGGTGTCGTTGTTGAACTGTGCAATTTTTGGTTATGTTCAACACTTTATTCAAGATAAAGGAGTCTGATTAGCAAGGAATATCAGAAAGCTAAGTCCTGACTGTGGCAAAAGGTGGAGCTGGGGATGGAGGAGGGTAATTTGCTCCGAAGCAAGCTGAAAAGCTGCTGAATAATACTGAATACAGCTTATATAGGAATGCCGCGATAGGTGTCGTATTCCTATAGGTAGATGTGATCAGCTGAGAATCAGCTGATGCAAGCTTGACTCACGTGACCTGCCAGAACTAACGCTAAAGCTTAATTAGGATATTGCAGTTGTCTTTGTACAGACATAGATGGTTCAAAACAATGTATGTGTTTCATGTCATTTGCCGGAGGTTCATTTGATTCCTGAGGTTGAACTGGTGTTTGCTGTAGATCAGTGGCAAGAAGTTCTTGTGATCGTCCTCTGGATATTTTATGTCCAACAACAAAATGAGTAAAACACCTGTGAAAAGAAATAATACATATTAAGACAGTACATTGGGTCCTATTTTACAGACATTTCTTAGTGTATAGCCTAGGTAGTATATCACATACTATGACATTCTTATGAAGCAATAACTGAAGTATCACTCACCAGCGATGCATAGTCTGGTGTCGTTGTTGAAGTGTGCAATTTTTGGTTATGTTCATACTGTTATGATCTCCTAGTTCATCAATAGTGACATTATTTATGAACAGATGATGTGTCACGAATCCGGTCTATGAACTTCCGTTTGTTCACCACAAGAGGTCATTATCCAGCACATGGACTCTCACACTACACAGACTGTCACACTCACCCTGTTTCCTATGAATTGTGTTTAATGGATTGCTGGCTGTATTCATAATGGATGCGGTTCTCTGAAAACATCGGTTCAGATGGATATATGATGCTTGTGTACACCTATATTGTTAGGTGCAGACACTGGCATTACATACACAAACTAGTGTTTTTTGTCTTCTACAGTAAACATTACATTTTCAGTTGCATGTTTTCATCACATCATCCCTCACCTTTCTGTCAAAATGCCAAATTAGTAATATGATAAATTGTTGAAGTCTACAGTTTCAATACATGTCTCTGTTCAAACAGTTCTAAGATATTCCAGTTTTATGATATTATAAGATAATAACAATAGATAATAACAAGATGATAACAATAGGCTAATTTGTGTCTATTTTTATACTTCAATATAGCTTAAACCTCACTTAAAAGGATAGTTTAGCCAAAATAACCTTTTTGTCTAAATGGTTCCATAAAGAACCTTCTGTCAGGACCACTATCGTCAGAATATAGATACTTAGCATAAAGTTTGGTTTGGCGGTATGGTTCTGTTCTGGGCAAAAACCTCCCTGCCCATCCATGCAGCCTGTCATGAATGAGCAGGGAGAGCAGCAATAATAACCCCCCCAGGGTTAACAGAACAGAACAAGGCAGATATCATTAATGTACTTAATGATATTTAAGTGTAACACTTTATTCAAGATAAAGGAGTCTGATTAGCAAGGAATATCAGAAAGCTAAGTCCTGACTGTGGCGAAAGGTGGAGCTGGGGATGGAGGAGGGTAATTTGCTCCGAAGCAAGCTGAAAAGCTGCTGAATAATACTGAATACAGCTTATATAGGAATGCCGCGATAGGTGTCGTATTCCTATAGGTAGATGTGATCAGCTGAGAATCAGCTGATGCAAGCTTGACTCACGTGACCTGCCAGAACTAACGCTAAAGCTTAATTAGGATATTGCAGTTGTCTTTGTACAGACATAGATGGTTCAAAACAATGTATGTGTTTCATGTCATTTGCCGGAGGTTCATTTGATTCCTGAGGTTGAACTGGTGTTTGCTGTAGATCAGTGGCAAGAAGTTCTTGTGATCGTCCTCTGGATATTTTATGTCCAACAACAAAATGGGTAAAACACCTGTGAAAAGAAATAATACATATTAAGACAGTACATTGGGTCCTATTTTACAGACATTTCTTAGTGTATAGCCTAGGTAGTATATCACATACTATGACATTCTTATGAAGCAATAACTGAAGTATCACTCACCAGCGATGCATAGTCTGGTGTCGTTGTTGAAGTGTGCAATTTTTGGTTATGTTCATACTGTTATGATCTCCTAGTTCATCAATAGTGACATTATTTATGAACAGATGATGTGTCACGAATCCGGTCTATGAACTTCCGTTTGTTCACCACAAGAGGTCATTATCCAGCACATGGACTCTCACACTACACAGACTGTCACACTCACCCTGGACTTCAGTTCCCACAATCCATTTCACTCTGATTACACACTCAGCAGCAGCCAATCACACACCCTACATAAGCCATGGACTTCCTCTCTCTCACTGCCGAGTATTGTTTTGCATTTATCACTCTTCCAGCTAGAGGTCTGCGCGGGACTGTTTTTTTAGTCCCGCTCCCGCAAGGTTCTATTCCGCACCCACCCACTCCCGCTATATATTCACTCTTTGTTCACCCGCTGTCCGCTTAGAATAATTTTCTTCCCGACCCGACTGTTCCCGCTAAATTTAGATCTCGTTTCCAGAATCTCACATTTAAATTTCCGCTACTGAAAGAAAGAGAGATAGGCTGACAAATAAAAGTGTATTCTGCACAAAATTGTATGTTATTTTATTCGTCTTGTCAAGAGTCTTGAATTTATTGACTTTGACTTGAATTTATATGAATTATCTTAAGACACAAAATTAGTTTAATATTTTATGCAACACAGTAGGAAAAAAAGTGTCAGAGAAAATAAAAATGTTGTACAAAAATGGTATTTCTTATTTTTATTCGTCTTGTCAGGAAACAATTCGTTTAACATTGATAACACAATAGGAAAATAGTGTCACAGAGAGAAAAAAAAAAGTAGGTTGTACAAAAATAGCCTATTAGCTATTTTTATTCGTCTTGTCAAAATACTAAATTTGTTTGACATTTTTCTGTTAACACAGTAGGAAAAGTGTCGCAGAGAAAAATAAATAAATACGACATCTTTCATTTAAAATTATAGGCCAAGCTAAATATAAACAAAACCGAGTTGAACGTCCTTCAAGGACAGCGCATCCACACTTTGCTCCATCCTTGTTCTGCTCTGTCACTCATCGACAACCTGCCTGTTCTGTTTGATGGCCGTATATTTACCACCGGTACAGCCTGCTCTGTGCATCGTTATGCACATGCTGCGCGTGACGTTAAAGCATGCGTGCATAACAGTCCTGAGCGCAAGCTACACCGGTAGTCAATAAGAATAAAGTGCAGATATGCTGTTCTAAAAGGACGTCGGGAACGGGATATTGTTAGACCGCCCGCTCCCGTTCAAATTACACCACAGTTACCGACTGCTACCGCGTTTTATT